CTGACTCCCCAAGACATGAAAGCCAGCCCATACAACAGCTGAACAAAATGACATTTTAATGACTAAATAAATGGATGAATAAACTACATTCGTTCTGGAAAACCAACAAAAACTAAATCTATCACAAAATCTGCAGCTGGCATAAATTTTCTGGTTCTGTTTCTTCGCCATTCAAATGCCTCTAAAAAATCTGCTCACGCCCTTTTCCAATTACTGCCTTAGACTGGGTAAATGAACTGTTGTCAAAAATAAGCTCTAAAATATAAAGTGCCTCATACATAATCTAAATTTAGTATTGCTCTTTTAACAGTACTGATGTGCCTGAGGAGCCGTCTCTATGCAGTCATCCAGACGATTGAGCTGACCATAAGTGTGCCATCTTGAGTATGTGGCTGCCAAGATTACCCTGGAGTCGCCTCCAATCCAGATAGCCAGGGGGAAGAAAGGCGTATAGAGCCTGCATGGGGAGATTTTGGTTAGGATGGGCCTATAAATGATACACATAATTTTCACTCAAAAAACATTGTTCAGATTCACTCACATTGCCATAACCACATGTAAGGGAAGCTGAAAAATATAGTCATTCTGTAGCCTAGAAAGAAGATGGAAACATTTAATTTAGAATATGGATGTTGGAGGGCACTTAGTAACATTTACACTGGAATAGCTAATAAGTTACTGTAAAACAAAAGAAGTTCTGTTTAGAAGTGTGCCATAGCTTGTTCATGTCTCTTTGATAATTTGATATGCCTTTACATCAGTCTTGAATTCATTTCTCTATTTCTTCATAAATTCTAAATAATTCAAGTTTCTACTAAATATTCCTGTCTTCATAAACCCCAAATTGATTCTGCATTGTAACATTTCTCAGTTGGAATGGAGGTCTCCTTTCTGGTAGTGGCTTTATCATGTACATCCACAGTATACTTTGCATATAACTTCTGATTTAGCTTCTACAATATTATGTACTAATTATTTTTGGTTATTAGTTCTAGGTCTTGGGTGTGCTCTTTGAAGTAGAAATAATTGCAATAAATTATTTTTATAAATAAAATTGTATTAACAAAAATATTTGATAAGTAGGAGAATCTTATTAATAAGTAACAAATATGACAAAATTGTGTAAGGTATTTTTTCCCCCTGGCAATTTGTATTCAAAATTTAAAATATTTGCATTTAAATGTATGGCTCAGGGAGATGAAAGTACAAATTAGTGGAAAATAATCTCTGTCATATTTGCATGTTTACATACTTGATTTTATCCTTTTAGTCAGTGGCACAAATGGAAATTTGCAGCTGGTGCTAGGATAAATAGACATCATTTGTGTTTACTCTGAAAATTACATAGTAGCTGTGTGTATTATGATAGGTATTCATGGAGCTTTGTGTCTCTTAACAGAACTGTTTGGTTTAGCATTAGAAGTATAATATAAGTAGAGTGAACTATTTTGTGAGGAACTCTGGAACTACATCACATAGCAAAATTTTGGTTGTACTTTCTGGAAATATGAGGGAAATATTTATAGAAAGCATCATAAATGGGTGTCTATCTGCACCTGTTTAACTACAAAGCTGTCAGTGAGGCACAATAGTAAAGATATTTTTATAAAAATGTCAGTTGGAATGGAGGTCTCCTTTCTGGTAGTGGCAACAGGAGAATTCATCTTGGAAATGCTGGGAAATGGGTTTATTGAACTGGTAAACTGTATCGAATGGGTCAAGAGTGGGAAGGTCTCCTTGGCAGATTTCATCCTCACCAGCTTGGCTCTGGCCAGGATCATTCAACCATTCATAACACTATTGGATTCATTCCTAATAGGGCTATCTCCACATCTGTATGCTATTGGTAAACTAGTGAAAGTGGTTACTATTCTTTGGGCACTAACTAATCACTTAACAACCTGGTTTGCCACCTGCCTAAGCATTTTCTACTTCCTTAAGAAAGCCAGTTTTTCCTACTTCTTTTTCATCTGGGTGAAGTGGAGAGTGAACAGTGGTTCTTATGCTTTTTCTGGTGTCTTTCTTCTTATTGTCTATTATATCTCTTATGCAGGCTGCTCTTAGTGAGTTGTAGTTGAATACTTCTAGAGTGCATGAAAGGAACATGACTTTGCATTTAGATGAAAATAAAATTTTCTACCTTAAAAGTCTTCTTCTTCTTAGCTTGACCTGTGTTATCCCCTTTCTTCAGTCCCTGATGTCTTCACTCCTTTTATTTCTCTCCTTGTTGAGACACACCAAGAATTTACGGCTCAACCTGATAGGATCAAGGGACTCTGGCACAGAGGCCTGCAGGAGGGCCATGAAAATGGTGACCATCTTCCTCCTCCTCTTCATCATTTACTTTATTTCCACTCTAATAGCAAGTTGGATCTTTACTAAGGTACAGAGCTATTAGGCCATGATGCTGATCTCAACTATCTTTCCCTTGAGTCACTCATTTATTGTAATTTTGGGAAACAGCAAGCTAAGGCAGATCACCTGGAGACTACTGTGGCATCTTAAATTCTCTGATAAAAGCAAAACCTTTAGCTTCATGAGCAAAATTTGAAAGAACTTTGTGTATTCTATGGGACAGACCTTAATAGAAAAACTTTTAGGCTCATTTTCAATTTCAAAATTCTTTTATCGATCCTTTTAGGTTTTGTTAAACAGGACTAACATGCCTTTAAGGAATTATACTATCACAAAGTGATCTGACATAATATTCAATTAAAAGCAATATCTCTGCTGTAATAACTCTTGCTGGCAACGAGTATTTGAAACATGAAGGAAAAAAGTTATAAAATATGTAATGGAATATTGATCAATATATAAAACATACAATACAGTATGAATAAATGTATATGAAATTACAGTCATAGAAAAGGAAAAAATAATGCAAATTTTTCCAAAGATAAATTTGAAATTAGAATAGAAAAATGATTGTAAAATGTTAAGTGTAATGTAAGTGTAATAATACTTTATATAAATGTAAAAGTATAAATATTAGTCTGTTTCTAATTTTTGACAAGATCTGAAGTAATAGGAATTTTTATACACTATTCATAGGATTATGAATTGATAAAACAACTTTGTGCAACAGTATGGTATTATGTGATTAAAGTGAAGATGCATATCCTAAGACCCAGTAACCGTACTCCTATTTTTCACATTAGAAAATCTAGTACATTATGTACCAGGATGTATAGGCAAAAATGTGAATGCTACTATTGTCCTTAATAGCTGAAGTTGAGAAGTCATACAAAGGCCCATCAGTTATAAAATGGACAAATAAATTATGGCATATTGGCACAATAGAATACTATGCAAAAATGAAAATGAACAAATTTGATCTATAGAGTTCTTAGTTCCCTGATAGAGAAAAAAAAGACAGACATAGAAAGATAAATTTGTTAAAGCATAATACATATTC